TCAACAGGCCGGTGTTAGACTTCGAACCCAGCGATTCTAGCAGCGAAGTCTGACACTGGACCATAGGAAAGATTTCCAACCTCTTACGATTATGTGTTACACTAATAATACGCATACATATGGTAATACGAACACCCGATGGCATTTCTTTCAGAACACACTGGATGACATTTGACAAGAATGCAATGCTCTCCCAACAGAATGCAATGCTATCATTATTTTGAATCGAACAACCAGGACGGAAGCTTTCTTCATCGATCAATGTTACTTTTGTCCAGAAATTCAAATTCAATGTTATCTCCGCTTCTCACCTTCAACCATTTTCACTTGGAGACAGCGATCGCAATGGCTGGGGCGGGGCGGTTTTGATGCTTCCTGGAATGTCATTGGTATACTATACCATCATCGCGCCGATTAGGACCACCTATCCTACCTTTCCCACCAATGACGCCAACCGCAACACCCTTCAGCCATCATGATCGCTGTCTTTAATCATTCACTTATTCCGGACAGGTTTTACAAAAATTCTCACGGCTAGGTCGTGGATGAATGTGTTAATCTATGATAATAAAAACAGGCTTTTTGTCGAGAGATTCATTCTTTTGTTCGATTCATTGTTGATTCACTTAAATGAATAAGTGACAGGGTGCCGGTCTAATCGGGAACCCGACTCGTTTCAGATTACATCGGATGACATTTCTGCTCAAGTAGAAAATGCAGCCTTGCTATGCACATTAGTAAATGGCCTGATTTGTTATAACTCAACAAACAATGTTCAGCTTTATTCACAAATAATATTATTCTGTGGGGCGTGGGCTTCTAAGGTTCAAGCCTTTCCATGAGGAAGGCGACTGTGGATGTCCACGATCTGCGATCCGCTTCCTTGTTGTACGACACACCAGGAAATCCAAGTTCACCAATATCTGAAACCATACATAAAGGATGGTCTTTCGTCCGTTTTTGTAGTCAGAAATGGGGTAGTATCACCGATATTCGGTGGAAGAAATCGTATTAGGGAGTTCAAACAATGCCAACAGCCTGTTCGGATAGGCTGAGCGCGAATGCGTATTCGTGGAATTGAAGGGTAGTGTTTATGGGATTCAAGGAATTGGGCTTTTTTCCTGAGGGTGGAGGAATTCTCACGTTCTTAGCCAAACCTGCACAATAATGGCGATGTGTACACTAACTCCTGAGACTCATCTACGTACAGGGAGAGGGGGAGGCTAAAAAACGAGACACTTTGTTCCACGTTTAAAATGGAATTAATCACACTTTGTTGAATTCACAATGAATGACTCTAGCTGATTATCGAGAGCCCACTCCCGTCTATTAGAAACGTCTCAATAGCCTTCCGCCTCGACGACAGAAGAATCTCCCATGGGAACAAGATACACGGTTCTAGCTCAACGAGCCGTGAGCCATTACCACCTTGCGAAACGCTGTTGGGAAGGGGTGTCGACGGCCTTTGGGGAGCATCAGTCAACCAATTAAAGAAATTATGTAGCTTTTTTGTTGTTTTCTTTTCTTTTCACCACGCGAGCAGTCCAGGGATCAAATCCTGGGTCGTGAGTCGCCCGGGCCAACCAAGCCTTCCATCCCTCCGGGGTCGGTTAATTGGTACCAGACTTGTCTGGGAGGATAAAAACACTGACTTGTACATCGGCTGGCCCCCGCAAGTCATTGTATAGGCCACATCGCATTCAAACGCCACTACGAATGTACAAATGGAAGTAGAATGCGTGCCGCATCCCAAAAAGGGATTGATCAACGGCAAATGCTTTATCCTTTATCCTTTATTTGATGCCTAGCTTTGTTTTAGATTCAGCTTTATTGCTTGGAGAAAGTACGGGGGCCTCTCGTGACTCCCGTTCAGTGTTAGTTAGACGACGTCATACTGCTTATTGTTAGACTCGGTGAAGCACTGAGAGGGCCTGATGCTAAAGAGGCATACAAAAAGCATTTTTCGGTAATGCTTCTATCTTAATTGTAAGGTGGCGCGACCAAAAGTTTGGTGATGTGCGTCATAGATCGTTTCGTTTGCCCATCCCCTCGCGTGTATGTGCATGCTGTCTGCTATGCGTGCGCCTGGTATGCCTTTGCACAAAGGAAGGAATTTGTTCTGTTTAAAAAGTTTGAGACAGATTGTCCCTTACGAGGCTTCAGTTAAGCCGCTGTCGGCGCATTGCCATGGACGTCCAGCGATCCGTCGGCTTTCTGTCCCATTTTTTTTGTTCTTGCATGAAGTCGTTAACCTATAACTTTGTCACATCATTTCGTTTTGAACGCCTGTTTTTGTTCGCTTACCGCAGCGGCCGGTATGTGACTGTCGGCATCTCCGTGGTGTACCTGTAAATATGCACGCTTTACAATTTCCCGTCGGAAAACAGTGGAACAGTGATCGCACTTACTTGGATTGATGCTGGTCATAGGAACGAGCTCAGCGTCCGGAATCGGTGTGAGAGTTCCATGGAATGAGACTGCTGCTTATTCAGTACCAAAATTAGTTATACGAGGGCAAGATCCAAGGCACAAAGGCCTCCAAAGCAGTATCCTATGGCTCCAATCTAAGAAAAATCGTTGTTAGATATTGCTTTGGTTGCACTGTTTTCCACTCCTCCGGAATATCTGTTTCATTGTGTATTGTAACTAAATGGATATGTAGCTTTAGAGGCGTGCTCATGGAAAAACAGATGTGGCTCCTGCACAAGAATATGAAACTGCTGGTGGGGAATGGGTAGGCAGTAAGCAAAACGAAAAGTATCTGTCGAAGCACCGTGTGAGTGATTAGGAGTTTTGTTGTAGGGCTTGTCAGTAATGCTGTGTGCTGAGGCTACAGTAGAAAGAGCGCGGAGAGGATAGCGGGGAATGAGAGGGTGCTAGACACCGGCCTACTATGGACGGCGAAAATTGAAGCTGTTGAAGCCAAATTTGCAAGTCTCTGGGCACTTATCGGGCGATTACCATGCACGCGAGTGCTGAATCCACTAGGTGTCTATCCTACAGACAGAAGGGAATCATACAGACGACTTTTTCTTGCCTTGCATGAGGTTTAATGTGGTAGATTCGTGTAGCATTCCAAAGAGGAGGCCGACGGAATCTTTCCTGAGTAGAGTTTTGCATCACGACTGCTCCATGGAGGCTATTTTTAAGTGATAGGACTTGTACTGGACAAATATTCGGCATTGCACCTATGTACATTTGAAAGCGATCGTGATATGGAATGAGTTTGGATGTGGAATTCGTGTGATATTGTTGAAGATCAGCAAGGAAGTGCAACATGAGAATATAGTGGGAGGAGAAAAAGCAAAAACCACCTTAGAAAACACCAAAATTCCCCTTTGGAAGCCAGCCGCAGCATGACGGTTATACATAGCGCCGCGCGGAGAGGGAAACTCGAGAGAGGGTACGTTGTACGCAAGAGTGCACAAGCACCAAGTATGCCACGATTGGCCAGCACGGCAGCACACAAGGAAGGGCTTAGCACCGTTGCCTCGTACTTTGAGTCGCGATTCCTGGGGACCCTCTTTCTTACTTAAAGCAACAGTTCAGGGAGGGTCCGAAAATTTCAATGCCACTACTACTGAGGGATACACGAGCCCTAGTGAAGAACATATGCAGTGGAAATAATAAACGAACTTACCTCAGAAACTCAAAAACAGGGTGGAAAGTCCCTCAAACATGGGTGTTCTTGGGGATTTCCCCAATCCCGCCCCCTTGCCGGCCGTCATTGGACGCGTCGGCAATCGTGCTCGTTTTGGGACCACAGGGAAAATTGATTGAAAAATGGAGCGCGTTTACAGCGGGCACGTTCAGACAACTCGTCCAACGTGCGTCTTTATCCATTGCTGAGCGGCAGAGGGAGAGTACCTGTCTAAGACCCTCCCCGACGTTTTTTTCCAGTTTTTCATACATTAATCGTCTGGTTTTCATCTACAACTTCATTATTGGTGGTTTTTTCCCGCGAAACCGTTCCTGAACTGTTGCTTTAAACCATTTGACGACCATGCGCGGCAACTATGTATGCCACACCAGTTACACTTATTTTTTGCGCACATGCTCGATTTCTTCCCTAGGTTTTGTGTGTCCACTTTACATCAACATAACCAAGAACCACGTGGCTTACAGAATGACCAAATATTCTTAGTTTGGCAGAGGTTTTCCAGACCTGACGAAAATATCCGTTCAGTTCATTCCTCATTTTCTTTTCATTAACGCGAACATGTGATAAAAAAGAATAATAGAAGTGAATACAAACCTATTCGTGTGGCAAGATATGTTTTTACTGAAACAACCACGTCCAAATTAATTTTGGAACCACTAAAGGGAAAGTAAGTAAAATTTGCCTTTTCATGGCCTTAACACGTCATTTCGGTCAAACTTTCCATTACTGTAACTCCCGATAAGTTAGACAGATCGAACATTATTGAAAACACTTCATCGCATCTAAGTATTGCGTATTTACAGCTCAAAATCCATGGATTTGGTGTGCGGCGGCGGCGCTCGCAAAATCGCTCTGGTCCCACGCGGTGCAAAAACCCAAAACGCGCGATGTCGTCAACGTGTTAAAAGGAAGTGACTCTCGTGACCCCATTCCGACTTTGGCTTCAACAAACATAATCGAAACGTCCGAATCGGTATTGATTCTTCTTTTCAAAATTGTGTCATCCTTTGGGTAATTTTCGTTACTATATAAGACACCTTTTTTGAGCACACGCATCCCATCCACAAGTGAAAATAAGACGCCGAATTCGTAAAGCCGGCGCAGGGAAAGGAAGGTTCCGGCGACTGTTAGTGGACAAAACTGTATGTTACGTTTCATGTATTGTTTGAGCGCGCCGGCGTTATTTTGGACGAAGCTAATTTTTCAACGACATTATTTGAAATATCTTGAAAGGTTTTCATTTGTGTGTTCATTGAAGAAAAGTTTCGTGCACAAAAAAATACAACCTAAAACTCACCCTGTCCTGGTCTACCTCCGGTAAGCTGCGTACAGCGTTTACGGCGGCTAGCAGACGTTTCTTCAGAACGCCCATCCTATCGGCTACGAGTGGTTTCATCAGAGCAAAATTTTCCTGTACACTGCCTCCTTTCTTGTCTTTTCCATAGACATCGGCGGCAAGAGCGACAAAACCCAACTAAACATAATTTTGTGATGAGAAACCTTGGCGGTGGGTCGAAAACGTTAAACCCTTAGACATAGACGGGCTGATGCCTGTTTCTCGCAGTTCCATTTGAAATAAAGAGCTTATCGGAGGAACTAATATCGGGTTTCAATTTGCACCACGAAACAACAGTCAAATAGTAGCGTCGTTGTTTCTCATACGGTAACAACGGACAAGTGCGATAGTAACAACACTTAATATAAGTGGCAGCCGACGGACTGCGGACTGCAACCAACATCGTTAAACAGACTTAGGTGATATCTCCAAACGTTCTTCTATAGATGTACAAAAACAAAAACTTGGAAACAAAAGACGAATGGCTTTGAATTCTCCCTTCAGAAAAACTACATCACTTAACTTATTTACGTACACGGAAAGGGAAGTCTTCAACGGTAAAACGTACATTTGCGAGAGCGGCTGCTCTTCCGCTTTCAAACTCACTGCAGCCACCAAAGGCGTGCATCACCAATACAGCTGGTAATTTTCGCGTGACATTTCTGGAAAAAAATTTGCCAAAAATGTAGCTGTTATGGGTAGGGATAGGTTCCTCTAGCAACACACTTTGGTTGATCATAGATCACTCATTTTCTACGCAACGGCACGTTTTAGAATAGAGACTTTTATTGGTGGCCTGACTTCTCGACGAGACCGTCTTCCTTGAAGGTTCAGTCCAGCGCAAGAGCAGAATAGCGCCATTCCAGGTCAGCTAATGGTTAGTAAATTTCTATTGACGCAGCGAGCTGAGGCTGTCTGCTCTTGCGCTTTGCGCCTTGCGCCGCACGCTTCAACGCTGATAAGGGTAGTCTTCAATCGTTACTTGTTCAAAACAACACAAGAATAGCCTGCACTGTCTCAAAATTTCTTTGGTCTTCTATCCGCGTTCGCGCCTAAATGACTTCCCCAAAATGAAAAATACCACTCGGTGTTCCATGCAATCGAGTGAGCACACGACAACGAGAGATGAGTGTGGATGGCGCAGCACAGATCGGCAAGGCTGAGTTCCCGTTCAAAAATAAGATAACAACATGGCACGTTGAACCCGGACAGACAGCGCTTTTGTGAAAACAATAAGACAAAAATAAAAGACGCTCTATAGTAAATTCCCCTGTAGACAACTTCGGACTGAAGTCCGAAAAAAAGCTTACTTCTTTGCGGCTCTTCGGGTGGATCTACGTTTGCTAATAAGGGGACCTTCATCGTGCATCCCACAGCCTGTACTCAAAAGACATTTTGGAGCGAAGCGCTTAGCAATTGTTTGGGGTGGTTATACAAAAGAAGAGAAAAGTTGGAGATTGGCTTGCCAACATGTCAGGTAGACAATTTAGGATTATAAAGAAATGCTTGAATCCCGACATATACCTTTTCGAGAAGCCAGAGTCACAAAACACTTGTTTTGCAGCAAGCCCAAGGGGGTCCCCTACACGTATTCCATTTGGGAAGGAGGCAAACGCGAGGGTTTCGGGTGCTGGATTGGCTGGCGTATTCCTCAGACCACATCGTTATTGAAAACGTAGGGGATAGTGGTTCACTGCTTCTGCGCCATTAAAGAAAAAGTAGTATCCAAGTGACCTAACAAGTTGCTGAAATTAGCTGCTTGGGAAGAGTTCGACGAAACAGGTATCGGGAGCCTGGTTCAGAACATGCCGAACAAAATGTTTGAACTTATCAGAATCTTTGGTAGGCCTACCAGTCTTTGATTCTGAAGATATTTCTGTTTTTCGAAAAGTGTCCACATACTTTTGATACAGGGAAAGCAGGGGAAAGTTTTTCCATTAATTAAAAAAATTTAAAGCTGCATGTAAAATGGTGAGAAATGAGAAAATCTAAGGTTTCCGTATCCGAGAAATCGAATGGTGGCGATCTCATGGTGCAGAAGTCAACAGTTTCTCAGAGAAGGAAAAATTTCAGTGAGTTCTCCACATAC